AGACAACCTTTTTCTAAACGGACTTTCCGTATGGCTTATGCTATCATGCAAGACCATCATATCACGAGTAGTCGTTTGAATTTCAGCTATACATTCACCTTCGCAAAAATTCATATTGAACCTAAATTTAGCTGAGCCTAGAAAATGTAATGGAAAATTTTATCAAAAATTTCGAGATTTATTTTCTGAATGAAATTTTATCATTGTTCTTGAATTGTGTTTAATTAACAAATCGTTACAAAATTTTTGTTTCACAAATACGTTATTTTCAATCGTGTCTATTCGGGATGCCTGCCAAGCGAATTAAGGACAGTATTTCTTGAAAAATTTCGTTACCATTCTGTCACCTACCCACAGAGCTCTTTTTAGTTTTGAAGCCATCAGCAGCAAGTAGACAGCTTGTTAAAATTTCAGACCGGTTGACTGTTTCAAATTTTAGATTATATCAAAGAAAAAAATGCGTTTCTGAAAAATGGCATAAATTTTAAATCAAATTTCGTGAATGTTTTACACACCCTGGCGGTCTGATGATAGAATCCATACCATGCTCATGAAAGTCAAAATAGACACTTTTCAGACAACACAGCCCAGCAGTGCAGTCTTGATCGATACGATTGCTTCGGCGGACACGTGTAAGCTCTAAAAAACAGTTTCCTCACAGTTTTAAAAAAATTTTTTTTAGACTTTTTTGAGCTAATTTCACGTTAATGATGGACTTTGCAAATAAATAATAATGAATCTAATGAAAAACCCCGTACCTTCGTCAGCAGTTCGAAAACGCCCACTTTTCGTAAAATGCTCTGTTACAGTACTTTTTCTCAAGATGCCTGACTGCTTCGCTAATGGTGGTGCCTAAAAATAATCTCTTTTGAGATAATAAAGTTTGACAATGTTGTGAAATGAAGCTGTGCTATTCCAGTTATATGTAACCACTTCGTGAATTTTTGATCAGATATTGACTGAAAGCTGCGAGCTTCAAATCGAAAATTTTTGGGTAAAATTTTTTATCGCGAGGCGAAATAGCATGCTATCGTGCAAAAGTTCGAGAGCTGGCCTCTGCCAGTAGGACAATTAATCCCTCTATGATTCGTTTATTAGCTTTGATGGTAAAATGGTACTGCTGGATAGTCAGAACCGCCATAATCTTACTTCCAAGCAACCCTCGAAAAGGGGTGCTATAGTTAGCTTTACTAACCGGAGCCTGTTGTTGTCAGGTGCTAGCAGTATGACTACTTCCGAGTGCTTCCACTTTTCACTGAGAGTGAATAAAGAGATTTTTGGCATAAAAAGCATTTTTCGTTAGAAATAGTACTGGATGTGCGACAGTTAAAAATATTGATTTACAATCGATTATTTATCTATACAGAATACGTAATCGTAATTAAAATGTTTTTTTTTTCATCAGCATTATGAAACAGCTCTTTGCAGTTTTAATTTTAATTTTGGTTGGTATGTGTTTATGTAAGATGTAAGGAAATAAAAAAGGAAATGTGAATAAATTAAAATTAAAATTGTTTCCGCTCTTACACTTCTCACGGTTACTATCCGAGCACAGCTAAAGTGCCTGGCAACTGACCACAAAAATGACCTTGTTGAAAATCGATGCAGTGAAAATTTGTAGCTTATAATATTCGAATAAAAAATGTTCATCGGACACAGAAGCTGGCGATGTTGACGCCGATGGTAACAACGATGATAATGATGATGTTGATAAAG